AATGAAACGAAATATGATAGGATGAATGTAAAACTGATGTTCTCCCATGTAATCCCACATAATTCACAATAAAAACTATAAAAAACAAACAGTAATGCACCTGGAAAGTAGTTTATTTACACCATTACTGCCTTTGCGATTCTCTTGTTTTGTGGAATATTCCTGAATTCTAATGTAGCCTGTATCATCAACAGAGAAGAAGATGTAGATATCAACAAAAATGATACTGGACAGGGCCAAACCATTCAGTAGCCTGTGAAACCCTCTCAGAGATGAATGGTACGAAGCCTAATAAAATTCCTCACAAACTTGCAAATTATTGTCACCTTTGTTAAATTAAACAACTTTTGGTTTTCTTGTAAGAGAAAGTATCCTATCATTTGCAGAGAAATAGCATTTTAAAAATAGAGGAGGAAGAAACACCTAAGTAACCACGTATCAATTACTCTGTCAGCAAAAGGATCATTTAAATAACAGCCTCTTTTTGCTTCAGATTCTCTTTCATCTGTGTGTGGTTTGAGGTTACTGCACCGTCGACAGAAGCGGATCATTGGTGGGAAAAATTCCTTAAGGTAAAAAGGTCTTCAGAAGAAATGTTTTATATTGTAGAATAATTTGCTTACAAATTTGGAGTTGCCTACTTGCTATAGGATAAGCTCTGAATTGCAAAGTTAGTTTGAACTGCAAGATCAGCAGTTCAAACTCACCAGCCACTCCTTGGAAACTCTATACAGGGTCGCTATGAATTATAGCTAACTCAACTGCACTTAACAATAGTGCTATTATAGAAGGGATATACTTTATGCATTTTACTTTCTAAATTAAGTAGAGATTATATTGATAATTTCACTGTTCTTTGACCTACATTTGCCTTATATAGACCATGTTCTTATACCACTGTCCCCTGGTTTATGTTGATTTAGATGTGTTACTGAGAAATTATGTGACAAAAACAAAATATTGTAACAGGAAACCTGAAATAAAAGTGAATAACAGTGCAGGTTCATTTAATTTAGAATATATTACATTTTACAGTATATATGTTAGTATAATTTTTGTTGTTGTAGTTTCTTAGATTTTAAAATTATGTGGAAAACTCAGCACTTTGTTTATTAAGTAATTTTTCAAACTGCTCAGGTGAAGTAGAGCGAGGAGAGACAGTAGGTTTCAAATCATGAAATGTAAAGAGGACTAAACTTGTTTGCAAGAGTGTTAGGGATCGGTGGGATACATAAAAATGTCTGCAAGCATTCTTCAGTGATGCTCATGTGCAGCCTGCTCAGAGTTGTAGGAGCATTTTCTCAAACTAGGAAGGGACTTTATGGAATAGAGTCCAGTTTATACCCTCAGTTTATACCCCAAGCCTCCTAAAGTATTGCTTGAACCTAATTTGCTTTTCTGCCTTTTACTATTGATATGTGGCTAGAGTCTCTGGGTGGTGCAAACAGTTAAGCATGGCTGCTCATCTAAAATTAGTGATTGAGTCCAGTTAGCAGTGTCTCAGAAAAAAGACCTGGCAATCTACTTTCCAAAAAAATCAGCCGTTGAAAACCCCGTGTAGCAGTTCTACTCTGACACACAGGGGGTGCCAGGGGTTGGAGTTGACTCGATGGCAACTGGTTTTTGAGATGTGGCTTTCTTTCTTTTTAGGGGTGGTTGGCCTTGGCAAGTTTCCCTTCGGCTAAAGTCATCCCATGGAGATGGCAGACTCCTTTGTGGGGCCACGCTCCTGAGTAGCTGCTGGGTCCTTACAGCAGCTCACTGTTTCAAGAGGTATGTGCCTACCTTCCAAACAGCTTATTTTTGCATTTATTTCCCAGTTACCCCAATCACTTCTTGTTTTACAGCCTATTAAAGACTTGCATGCTAGAGCCAGTCTGTAGACCTCTGTCTGCACCAGAGTGGCATCAGGAAACTGAGGGGGTGACATAGGAACAAAGGTAACACCTAGGAAGCCACTGCTCCCCTAGTGTTAAATCAGACTTCGGATTTAGGGAGAAGAAAAGATGGGTTATTGGAAAGGAGACAGTTATGCTAGGACACTCATTCCTCACTTAGCAACACTCTCATCATCCAACACTTTACATTTACAACAACTTTGAGAAAATTCTCAGACAGTGTCTTGGGTAGTACAAGTTCCATGTTGGGGCATGGCTGAGCCTGAGGTGCCCTCCATGTACCATCCTTAACAGTATACCAGAGGACTGAGCGAATTCCACAATGTCTTAATCTGCACATAGAGGGTGTGGAACAACAGCAGTATGATGGAGGCAGATGGGGATGCTGAGCAATGGTCCAAAGGTTTTGAGGAGGTTGGATGGAAATTGAGGGTTTCTTACCCAGGGTGGCAACAGGATCTGGCAAGTGCAAGATAAATGAGGTCCTCATCTAGGGAAGGTGTAGGAGGTGACAATCAGTGGACAACACACAAACACCATAACCTCTACCCCCAACCCTCTAGGTCTTAGTTGTGAGGAAGGCGTGGTGTGTATGAGGGGATACACAATACCATGTGTATCTGAAGACATGCCGGGGGCACCCAACAGGGGGCAGAGGATGGCACTGGAACCAAACAGGGCACAGCCCCCAACTGACATAACACCAATTTCGTATAATAACTTGATCTTTGGAACCTAAATATGTTGATAAGTGAGGAGTTGGTGTACGTACCCCAAGAACATATCTGAAGGCAAAATCATATCCTAATAGAGCTAGAAGAGAACTTATATTATCTACTGTATTTTTTTCACAAATAATACTTAAGATATATATATATATAAAACCAAATGTGCAATTCTTTCAATCCCAGTGTTGTTTTATAAGTGTACTATGTCAACTTTTTTTACATGTTGCTGACTTCAGTTGACACTGTTACTGTTCTTAAGCATTGTGTTGGTTCCGACTCATAGTGACCCTGTATAGGGTTTCCTAAAGGAGAGACTGGTGGATTGGAACTGAAGTCCAGTTCTTATCCTGCAGATCCATACCAGTTGATACTAAGAAGACATAATTAAATTAGAAATAAGTAAACCTAATGGTGTGGCACTGTGGGTTAATGTGCCAGGCTGCAAAATCATTTGAACTGTAAGGTCAGCGGTTCAAGCTCACCAGCTGCTCCTCAGTAACCCTATGCAGAGTCGCTATGGGTCAGAACTGACTCAACAGCATTTAAAAACAACACTATTCCAACTCACCATTCATCTGTCAGTTTGTCATATTGTGATGGCTTGTGAGTTGCTATGATACTAGAAGCTACACCAGTGGTTTCAATACCCATGGTGGACAGGTTTCAGCTGAGCTTCCAGACTAAAACAGACAATAAAGAAGTAGAAGTGGGATACTTCTGAATGTTTAGCCACTGAAAATGTTATGAATATCAGTGAATTTGTCAGCACCAGAATATTGCAAATTGAAACATGATGAATAGCACCAGAATATTGTCATATGCAGTTCCAGAAGGTAAGCCCCTAAGGTTGGAAGGCACTCAAAATGTGACTGGGGAAAAGCTGTCTCATCAAAGGAGAGTTGGCCTTAGTGATATGAATGAAGTAAAACTTTCTGGATCTTTGTCTATGGGGAACAACTCAAAATGAGGAGAAACAGCGACAAATATCCATTAATAATCGGAATACAGAATACATGAAGGGATGAATTTAGAAAAATTAGAAATTGTCAAAAATGGAATGGACCCCACAAACCTGGATGTTCTAGGCATTAGTAAGCTAAAATGGAGTGATACTGGACTTTTAAAATCTGATAACCACATGATTGTGTACCAAGAATGACAAATTGAAGAGGAATGGTGTCACATTCATCATCAAAAAGAACAATTCAAGATCTGTCTTTAAGTAGAATGCTGTCTGTAATTGGATAATATCCATGTAAGATCAGTTAACTCCACTATTATCTAATTTACACATGAGCTACTAATGCTAATGATGATGAAATTGAAGAATTCTACTAACTTCTTCAGTCTGAAATTGATCAAACATGCAATCAAGATATATTGATAATTCCTGGTGATTGGAATGCAAAGGTTGGAAACAAAGAGGAAGAATCAACTGTTGGAAAATATGGCTTGGTGATAGAAACTATGATGCTGGAGATCGCATGATAGAATTTTGCAATACACTCATTGCAAATATCTTATTTAAATAACATAAAAGATGACTATACACATGGACATCACAAGATGGCATAAACAGAAGTCAAATTGACTACATCTGTGGGAGGACATGGTGGAAAAGCTTTATTTCATCAGCCAAAACAAAACCAATGGCAGACTATTGAATAGACCGTCAATTGTTCATATGTAAGTTCAGGCTGAAGCTAAAGAAAATGAAAACAAGTCCAGCTCAAGAAGACAAAGTCAAGTATTATACTGAAATGTGCAGACACCTGGAATTAGAAAAACAAAGGGAAAAACATCCTCAGCTTCTTATCAGCCAGGTTGGCAAGACTTTGTCTCTCATACTTCGGACATATCAGGAGGGACCAGTCTCTGGAGAAGGACATCAAGTTGGGTAAAACGGTTTGTTATTAAGTGCCGTTGAGGCGATTCTGACTCGTAGCGACCTTGTATAGGGTTTCAGAGGAGAGGCTGGTGAGCTTGAACCACTGACGTTGCCAATCAAACTGACCTTGCAGTCCAGTGCATTAACCTGTGGCACCACACCAGCACTCCAAGTAAAGTAGAGGTTCAGCAAAAAAGTAGACGACTCCCAAGGTGATGGATTGGCATAGTGGCAGAAGCAATGGCCTCAAGTATAATAACGATTGTGAAGATGGCATAGGACTGGGCAATGTTTTGTTCTGTTGTGCAGAAAGTCACTATGATTCAGAACCAACTAGACAGCATCTAACAACATTGCACCAGTTGCTGTATGGGACAAAGAGAAGCTTTTCTGCTCCCATGAAGGTTTGCAGCCTTGGAAACACTACATAGATCTCTGTGAGTCAGAAAGAATGGAAACTACCTCATTATCCATCGTTGAAGGTCTTCCTCTTTTATGTTGACCCTCTGTTTTACCAAGCATGATGTCCTTCTCCAGGGACTAGTTCCTCCTGACAACATGTCTAAAGTATGAAAAACAACATCTCGCCACCCTGGTTTTTTTTTTTTTTTTTTAATTTAA